AAGGATTTTGATGTTTACCGATTACTGGATAAACTCAATGGTGTTCAAAATGATATTGTGATAACACATGAACCAGAAAGTAACGGCCAATTAGCCTTTCTAGACATACTTTTAAGTCGAAGGGATGATGGCACTATTAGACGGTCCGTGTATAGGAAACCAACTTGGACGGGACAATACCTAAATTTCCATAGTTTCTGTCCATTGCAATACAAGAGAGGTCTAGTTAAGTGCCTCTTTAAGAGGACTCGAAGAATATGTACCTCTGATATGGTGGAAAAAGAGGAGAAGTTACTGACTGACACGTTAATAGCAAATGGTTATCCACTCAAGTTTATTAATAGGTGCAAAAGTCAATTAATGCCAAGACCTCTAATTTATTCAGTGCCAAAGAAAAAGGTTTACATCAATCTACCATATAGAGGCGAATCAAATAGTATAGTTTTAAGGCACAGATTGAAAGCAGCCATTGAGAATACGTATTATGCTGCTCAGTTGGTAGTGATTGAAAAGTCTAAGGCCATGATTCATAATAGACCCCAACAATGCACTAATGATTACGTCACATCCCATTGTATTTACCAATTTACATGTTTGTGTGGACACACATACATAGGGAGGAGTAATCGAACAATGCAATCAAGGGTCAATGAACATGTACCCAGATGGCTTCAAAATCAGTGTGTGTCAAATGATCCGATCAATGTAGGCGGTAGAAAACCATGTTCATCGATAGCAAAACACATTATTGAGACGGGGCACAAAATTAACATTAATACAGCATTTAGAATGTTGTATAGAAATTGTCAAGGTCGAATTCTTAAGTTTATTGAAGCCTTAGCTATTCGTAAATTTAAACCCCCCTTATGTGTACAAAAACAATTTGTCGTAACCTTGAATTTACCTTGGTAATCCTTAAGTCATTCTATGGCCTAGGATAACGCGACAATTTCTTATTCTTTCCCCCCCTTAGTTATTTTAGTTGTACTTTTATTTGTTTGTTTGACCTTTATTGACCTTTATTAATTTTCATATAAAAATGCCTTGACAAGTATATGTGTGACCAGATTGTTCGAAATGTATAGCGCAAATACATCACATTTTTCAGATCAACTACGTCTTCTCATTGTTCTATCGAAATAATAAAATTGCTATATGCTGCAAATACAGACTTATTTGTTTTGATGGAGGTAGGGGGGCTCATGGGATTTTCACTAAAGAGCTAAGCGAGTGCGTAAACCTGTATAAGGTACCATACGGGGTGCATTTGAGTTACTAGTGTTCCATAAGTGCGGGTAGGGGCATTGCTTGCTTGTCATATGGCATTTGAATTAGAAGCTATAAGATAAGACGCAGGTACGGTTAGAATGTGTAACGCGTGTCCATCCATCAGCTGGTGCGACAACCCATGGTGGTTAGAATAAGCTATGAGAGGACCCGAGTCTGTAGGTCTCCCAAGGAAATGACGAGGATATGCACCAAATCACTTAACCTCTACTCATTACAGTATAGACGTCTTTGAGGTGACCTAATGGCTTACAATAACCTTAACACTTCTGGACATCCCCTAAAACACCTAATTAAGCTTAGTTCCAACACTAACCTAAGGGGTAACACCCAGAAACTAGAGACACAACATAGCAGAACGGACTGTAGGCACAACTCCTCCTTAAGAGTTGTCAAATGCTGGGGTTTTCTGCCGGCCGAGCTAGTCCAAGCGACTTCGCAGGAGTCCTTTAAGAGGCAACTGGGTTTATTCTTAAGGACTAAGTATAGTATCATATTATGATTTACCAATTCCCTTTTCCTCTTTTATTGTTAACATACCTAGTTTTCTGCCTTGAGGTATTGGTGATCCCCTGCTATTAGACACGGAAGCCTGTTAAGCGAAAGCTTCTTCTATTCCGTCCACAACCATTTGAACACATGAACTAGGTGCTGAGAGGCTCGCTCATCACAAGTTTCTTGCAACGATTAAGTAGATAAAACAAAGTAGCATTAGATTCAGAAATTTATTCAAGAACTTTCATTAAGAATCGAATAGCAAACAAAGGTTTAGACCAAGTTCCCGTTTAAAAGTTGTATTGGTAATGTTAAGCTGCAGTTTTCGTTGTATTTTTCCAAACGAAAGAGTAAAAGAATTCAAAAGATACTGGAAGTGGTTGTGAGACTAAAATGGACGTCCAGTATCCTTTTTATAATCTGCTGTTCGTTGGATCTCCCGTAAACAGTTCCATAGGGCCATAGTTCCAAGGGCGAAACAGTTTCTAGGATCTGTGAAGACTCACTCCTGTTGCATTCTAAATGAAAAAATGGTGATGAATTTAGTCAGAAATGTGGAATATATAAATAACCAAACCATATGTTTTTTAGCAAAGAATTTATGCAGTTGTGATTTACTTTGAGTTCATGAATATTAGATAAGGTCAGCTACTATTACTTGTGCAAAGCATAACATGGGCTTAGTACCGTATTACAATGCTTTTATTATTTTGCTCCCATTTAAGTATTCCCATGCATCTGCGTCTAGTTTAACAGGAAAACATACAAGCAGAGTAAGTGTATGGTAAACTAAAAGTCTCAGTTGTCCAAAAGATTTTTAACATTTGTCCACAGCCAGCTGAATTTAATTGAGACACAGAACACTCATCTTCTAGGACTGTATACTGCTGTTTTGCGGGCAACTAAAAGCTCAGACAATTAGCTATCTTGCTACCGATGTTATTGATGGGGAAATTGTTTAATGACAGTGATCATGAAATATGGTCAGTGATAGATGTACAGTTTAGAAATAAACACCAAACATACTTATCGCTATCTTATAATGCATGATAGCAACAGCATCAAAGGCACGTTTTTTCCTATTTTTAATCAGACTGATCTGAATCCGTATACACATTAGAAACAGGCAACTTTACTTACTAAACTGATCTGTTTCGTTACAGGCTTCAAGCACTATACATAAGTATATCATAATCCTTTCAACTAAACTGAATTATACGACAACCAAGAACACTAAACTAAGCAAGTGTCATAGTTATTGTTTCACTTGCAAAGACATGTTGCTCAAAGTAGGTAAATGGACATAATTAGGCCGATAAAACCAAAACACGAAATATAGGCTAGTTGAACTTACCTAAGAAAATAAGAAGGATACATATATACTGCTTTAAAGGAGTATTCAGTATGAATTCATACTGAAGACAACAGGAAGTTGATCATAGAAACACAGTTTACAAGACAACAAACCTTTCTTCAGTAAAATCATGCACTGACAGTCTATCTGGAAACAATTAACTATGTGAATAAAATCACTATGACTTGAGATATCATCTCAGCGTGCAATGGACGTACAGTGTAACGCAGTCAGACGTGGCGAATAAAAATTAAAAACAGAGAAAAATTAACCACATAATCTAGTTATTTAATTAAAAATACATTATGAAATGACAAAATATGTGGTTACTTGAACGCACAAATGACAGTGTGCGATACATTAAGTTTACATTGGTTGCGTTGCGGATAAGATCACCCTGAATCTTTTCATTGCAAAAAAGATTGGGCAGGAACATTCCAGGAATATTCCTGTAGATGTAATTTTCAAAGATCTAAGTGAAGACTTCGATAATGTCTCCCATTCTAGTATTAAATTCAGACTGTAATGTTTTGGAATCAATTACACAGTTGTAGATTGGATGAGTAACTTTCTCCATGACAGCATAAAAAAGGTGAGGGTTAGTGATGCTCTGTCTTCGTGCGTACCTGTAAAAAGTGGAGTTCAGCAAGATACAATCCTCGGTCCTCTTCTCTTTTTACTTTATGTAAATTATTACCAACTGTTGCAAAATCATCCGTTCTACTCTTTACTGATGGCATAAATATTTGGAGACCCATACATAGTATGTCGGACAGAACATCATTACAGGACGATCTTAGCTCATTGGTGGCATGGTTAGACAGATGATCACTAAAAGTAAATCCTAATAAGAGTGTAGTGATGCAGTTAAATAACTCTGATGAATCGTATGACTATACACTACGTGGATTCGTTTTACCCAAAGTAAGAAACTATAAAGATTTAGAGGTCATATTAAGCAGTGATCTCAAAACCACTAGTCACTGTAAGGCTGGTGCTGCGAAAGGCTATAGTGTTTTACGGTTTATTCGTAGGTTTTTCCAATATTTAGATGATGAAATGTTCAGATTTTTATAATAGATTTACGTGAGACCACATTTAAAACGTGGGAGTCGAGCAGCGAGTCCTTGTTTCAAGTATGAAGCAGATATGCTGAAAAGAGTCCAACAACGAGGTACTAAGATGGTACAAGTTCTATCTGTCCTATCTTATGAAGACCGACTGAGACAACTCAACTTATTTCCATTATCTTACCGTAGAATACGGAGTGATCTAATATTGGCTTATCTCATACTGAACTATTACCTTGGTATTAACATATCTTATCTTTTACTTCCGTCTAAAACTGATCATTTGAGAGAACACTCGAAGAATATTCAAAAACCGAGATGAAATCGTTTACGTCTGGATTTTCGTTTCTTTCACCGAGTAGTGAATTACTGGAATTCTCTACCGGAACACGTAATATCAGCACCTTACGTTGATACATTCAAAACGACATTGGACCTCCGTAGTATTAAAAACTGCAAGGAATAATATGGTTCGATAGACATCATATCCTTATTACTGAAGACTGAATACTTAAAGTCGGAAAATTTTATTAGATATTCAGCAGCACATCGCGTACTAATTTGTCTCTTTGCTTTCAAGTTTCTATGATCACTTAAGGAGAAATGCTTCACTGTCCATAACTTTGCAACGTTTCTGTACACAATACATCTAATACTATGTGTATATTGAACATTCGGCTGAAGTAAAACAACATCTTTGTCCTTCACACAAGCGGCCATTTTCTTGGTGTTCGTTAACATGCCTTCGTAAAGAGATTTGATGTTATTTCCCACCAATAAGTGCTCGTTTCTCCATGGCTTCTCCTGGTGAACATGAACAGTTTACCGAAGAAAGTACAAGTTCATTTCAGTTTGGTCACAATGAAAGGTCTTCTAAAAGGTAGTTGTAAATCACATTTACGATTGTTCAGTGATGAACAAAAATGTATTTTCGAACTTGAAAGAGCAATCGAGGCTAAAACGAAGGAGAAGAATAGTCTACGTACAGTGCATATTAAATCTAAACTTATTTTGTAGGGGAAAAGTTGCGTTCAATCCTTCGACTGTCTGAACGTCTGGATGCTTTACTACCGTTGAAATTGGAGTCTAAAGAGAGGGAACTACGTCATTTTCTGGTGAGCAAAATTATAATAGTTTGAACTTTAAGTTGTTTTTTCTCGTGATTTGCGTGAGCTTTCGAAATCAGAATAGACTGAATTAACACTGGTTATGTTGATTTTTAATAAGATATGAGGACGTGCGTAGAAAAGGTTTGTATCATTAATTGGTCTTGAGCAATTAGTTTCATAACTACCATACGTATTTCCGTTCGATTTATCGATATTACAAAACGGTGAAGAGCACCTCGAGTATTGAAATTAAATTGAAATCAAAAATTGCTATTATCTCAAAACATTTAGGATTTTGATGAATTATCTGCTAGCTTCTGAAATGCACCGATTTCATTCACTGTTCATAGGTCAACTAAACATTGATAGTCTATTTGGGCAGGGTGTATCACGACAGATGTGACTAGTTAAGCCTATTAGCTCCAATGACCATTCAGTTCTCTTTTTTCCCTCATTAAGACGGCGCTTAGTGGTTTCGGTTTCTCATTGCAGTCATCCCGCGTTTCAAATTACCTGGCTCAGTCGGACCTCATTATTGGAATTTGAAAGGGCTTTCGAGACTATCATGACTCCAGAGGCCGACTATTCTGTAGCCGTATGGATGATTTCCTCTATTGCATTCATTACGATTTTAGAACCTCTGGACCTCTTTCTAACCTTGACAATTTTTTGAACCACACATAAGAAGCGTATCCTCATTATTTCCTTGGTTTTGTTTAACATATTTTTTACTGACTGTTTGCTGGTTAGCTAATATTTCCCAAGTTAACTTAAGATTCGTTCAAAGGTCGCCCATAAATTAGAGTCTCGCCAAAAACTCTTCTTATACCTAACTTAAGTAATACGATCTAGTGTGCATTGTACAGCAGCTGCGAATACTATATTCCTTCCTGGTACTCACATAATCGAAATAAATCGTATTGATTGTTGAGAAACGTGCAAAATAACTTCTGTGCAGTTGAAAGCACGTCATCTCTTCTGGCGCGTATTCAGTACCTTCAAACAAACTTGCTAACAAACCTAGCCTCATCCTACTGTATTACTCTGTGTGTGGCATGGTCTGTGAAAATTAAGGGTATGTGTAAGGTACAATTTTTTGATCGTGTATATTCCCAAAGCGTTGTTGTGTGTCGTGAAGCAACCGAGTGTGGGGTGTTTTGGGAGGAGATAGGGCAAATCATTTTATGGAGTTGTAAATCCTCGCATCTATAATGGGTAAATGTAAATTGCGTAGGACAAACCGCCGCCTCCCCCTAAAGACGATATATTGTGTGAGGTTAGGTTGAAAGCAAGCTAAGGGCGGTCAAACCAAAACGTAACAACAATCCATAAAACCATGGGCTGTTGGACTGAATCATGTACGTGCGTAAAAACTACCTTGTTGGGGTTCACAAAATTGTAACCAATGGTTGCAGACGTTCGGTAACATGGTTAGAATCGGTCATTGTTATGTATATGTGTACTCATTAGTCTCTTTTAGATCTTGGATTTCAGAACTACTTTATATCTTTTATTGTGCAGATTAGTTTTTAAATCATATTGTCTGGTTTCTTTTACTGTCACTGATATTTCTACTACTTTGGGATTCGTATTATTTCATATATCTTTGGTTTGGTGTGGGGACTAGATCCAGTGCACGTATTCTCCAAACTCTACGTTGATGATAACTTACTAACTTTTGAGGCAAACTATAAAAATATCAAACTGTTCGAAGCAGACAGTAATGTAGTTATCATCATTAAGGCTGAGCTACTAGTACAATACAGAAACTTGTCTTGCAATTCTGTAGGTGCATTTAGTTTTGGAGATACGGATTATTGTATCATGAACTTCACAGAATTCCTTATTCAGTAAACTCAATGCAGAAAAGCATTCCATGTGGATTTTCGACTTGTGTACATGCATGTTGTGTTTGGAGGTATCTTATTTTGCTACTTGTTAGTTCTGGGTTCTACTAGCGCAAGATTATGGATTTTCACTCCTCGAGTACCTATTTGTTTGGTGCTCCTTGGTATTCTGTATTTTTTTCAACTTTGTATAGGATATATTACTAGATCTTTCATTTGGCTTGAATAAGTTATGTAGTGAGCTAAGGTTGACATGCAGCAACCTGCCTAAGACATCGATGACTCGTTGAACTATAAGTTCTAGAGCTCAACAGAACTCACAATAAAGACAACTTGAACTTGTTTATCTTGAAAATATAAGTTCCAGATTACAGTCACATAAATAACTGATTTATCTAAAGAGAATAACTAAACAAAAATGTTTTATCACTTCAAGAAAAAATTTCGTACGAAACGGTCATCTGGCCAAAAGTTTTGAAAAAAAATTATTTTTACAATATTACGACAATTCTGTGTATGTAAAACGGAACAAGTTCAATGAGATCCGTGTTCCTGCTAATTGATACGTCCATTAAATCTATGGGATTAACGGAATACTTGGTTTGGTTGCGTGTATCTCAGTTCGGTAATGGTATTCCTTGGAATGAGGGTCGCTTCTTATCCAACAGGTTTGTCCCTCAATATCTACTAGATTCTTTATCCAGAAGAACCTTTTGCAAGAATACCAGATAGAAAAAGGTGAAAGATACGACCACTGCTTTTGTTATGCAAGGACTTCAGCTACATAGTTGTTAAACCTGTTTTATCCTACTAAAGAGTATCGGAGACGTGCTGTTTGGTAATAGTTTTCTTTGAATGATCACTCATCGATGATCCCACTACCTTAGTAGTGCTGCGTTCTAAATATTTGTTTGTAGTGATGGTAAAGAACGAAATTCTGTTGATTTTCTCATATAAAAAAACTGACTTCAGTTGCTCTGACTGTTCTGGGTGTTTCTTGATACTACAAGTTATTTCCCGATTCTCTAATTGGATGTGTATATGGTCTGCCTATGACCCCGGTGAAGGAACGGTTATGTTGTTTTAACATTTATTTACAAATCACGGCTTCCTAGTTGAGGTTTTGGAACTCAGTCTTTACAATTCTGTATTCCTGTATATTTGGTGAAGATATTGTAATGAAATAAAAATGTTTCCTGATTACTCTCCAACTCAATCTGTATATTTCGGTCAGTTGAATTTTCCTCTTCTGTTTCATCACAACATTTTTTATTTTGCTTTTTGTGATGAATTCTTCATTATTTTGTTGGGAAATGTTCGTGTCATAAATAAGATTAATGGGGACTTATCACACTTCGCTGTCATGACAAAAATCAGAGGAATTGAAAATAAATAGTATTGTAAGACTAAGGAATAAGACCAAACTAAGATTTCATGATTCCCTTATGACGATGTAATAAAAATCCATTCATTCGACCAAATACAACTGATTTTGAGCTAGTAACTACTTGTCTTATCAGCCTGCCTGGTATTGCAACACCTCAAGTGATATGCACCATTTTGTGTGATTAATCCATATCACTACCATAAACGAATCCAACCACCATTACGAGATATCACTTTTTACTATGGCTAGTTATCTATCCACATATTGCACTCATATTAACTATGGCTTCTCGACATCTTGGTAATATCAATAGTCTTCAGTGATATAGAGCTGTATACGTGGGACAATTAGTGTTTAAGGAGTTCGAATTTCTTACATTACATCAACTTTACTTGATCGCATTAAACTTTCTTGGCTACTCAAGTTCCCATGTCCACTTTTAAAGAAACAGTGACTATTGTTCATATGGAAATAATTTAAAGAAATTCTTTGGATAAATTACCTTAAATTATCCTAGTGTAATACAATTCGATTTCCAATAGAGTAAATGGTTAAAAAATGACCAAGTTTGTCGTTAAACTACAACCAGTTCAAACCTATTAATGTTATTGCTGAATTACTGTGTTAACTGTATGAACGTTTACATATTTTTGCTCATTGTTTTTCTTTGTACTATTTAGTACTCCAGTGAATCAAATCAGTGCTTGACTGGTTACAAAAATTTTCAATTAATATTGTATTCTGCTTATGTAGTTTTAAATCATAGTTCTTGATAACACAGCGTATTCTGATTAAAAATTGATTATAATCTATTTCTAGACTAGATATTTTCTGTCGAATATTTCTATGAACTTAAGTGCTAAGCTCTGAAGCCACTCACATTTCCTAGATCACAACTTCCTTTTTTTGTACTGTGTTTATTCCTATTTCTAATGACTCAGAAGTTAGCTTTTGAATAATTTTGATTTCTGCATCATGCTTAACAATTGTCGCTAAATTGTTAAACGCTGACTACTTGTTAAACCTAAATTTAATAATACCATTCAACCTGATATTTTTGTTCGCTATTATTGAACATCTTTATTTGTGTATGTGTGTAATTCTTGTAAGCATTGCTTATACATTAAATAAATGAGATAAATACAAATGCAGTTTTTCTATTCTTACAGTTATTTATTAGCAACTAGGATTATTATTACTATGTAGTTTTTGTAATCGATCTTCAAGAATCGTTTGGAAAACAAAATAACCCCTTGATGGCATATTCAGTTATGACTTTTATCAGTTTCTTGTTACTATATGACTTTTTCCCATATGTTTATTGAAATTTCTAGTGCATCTCAATGCTAAATTATAATAATAATAATAATTTTTTACTACGTCCACATTTCTACAGATTTTACTGTGAAACATTGGTAATAAATTTATAGCCAAATAACTCATTAACCTAATGATTTTGTTTATTAGAACTATTCTTTTTAATCCGTGTTCTGATAAGGAAAATGTCTAATATTGCAATTGTATAGCTTATTTTAAAAAAATTGTGTTCTCCATGTAGAAATGCTTTCTCTTCTTAATAAACCTTGAAATCACATAGATCTTAGTTATCCTAAAATAAAACAACTTGTCTGTCACGTAATAGATATAAAATATCTAATTTTTGACAACTGGTTAGTCAGTCATAATGCAGAGCTTGACACCGTGAGTCAGTCCAGGTTGACATACTACAGCACGAAACAAAATAAACCGCAAATTATTAGGAATAATCTCATGTGCAATAATAATAAGAAAAGCTGAACCTTGTGAATATGGCTCGAAATGATAATGAAAAGACATGCTTGGACTCGAGATCTAAAGGAATGTATGGTGCATGCGTCACTGTAACCACACGGCGGTTTCGATAATCAGGTGAAATTTTTCAGAATTTCACTGCAAATAAACTTCTGTACGTTGTCTCGTTAGCAACATCCCACTTATCCTTGGATTAACTAACATAAAGTTTACTCACTTTCTGAAATTTTAATTTTTCAAGAGTCCTTAATTCAATAGTTGTCTTAACATTATGGATGCTCTATCGACTTGAACTTCCAAATAAATGACAGAAAGCATGTTTTGTTTCATTAAGTTAATTCAGTGTTAGAGTTTCTCAAAAATATTATTCTTTGAAACAAGTAAACGACAAAAGCTACTATAGTGAACCTATTATTTGCGTCAATTTCAAATGTTCGTGTATTTGTATGTGGATTTATGTGCACGCATTTATAAATCAGAAAAATTTAACTGAACCAGGATTTAATCCAGTGCACTATATATTTTGATTATAACATGTGACTAGGGTTGAACGTTATTTTAAAGGTGACTTTGTAATGACTTTCTTCGTTAGTTTTCATCTTACCTGAAGAGGTGTCAACTGGTTGGTGTGCGTCAATTTTGGCAGCCATAATTTTCAGCTAGAACACTTCATCACATCCCTAAAGATATTTGTTTTAACTGGTTGAGAGCACCAATCAGAGGATTTTCCGGTAGGTCTCGACTGGCAAGCATCAAATACAGCTCATTATTTACTTGCTTTGAACTTCATTGTAGTGATCTGATGCTAATAATCTGTAAAAGGGTAAAGCTTCGTAAAATATTGAGGTTTTGAAAATTCTAATAGCTTTGCGTTTTGTAGTTGTATATCCTTTTTAACATGACATGGCCTGTGTTTGTTACTCGATAACAGGAATTTTCTTTTGATCATATAGTAATTTGTTACTTGTAAGCCACTTTAAAGACAGATTTTAAATTCCATCGTACAGTATATTCAGGCTAATAAAGCTAGTAGACAATGCATCAAGGTAACAATTGTCAAGATTTTAAGTTCCAGGAAACATCTCAAAGGCTATGAAAACGTTTTGCCTCCATTTTGGAGGGGATATTTTTTCATATCTGTTGGGATGGAAGTATATATCATAAACCTGTTTCGAGTGATCCATACAATATATTTCCTCATAAGTTTGTGCGTTGGGAAATGGCATTGAACAGAGGTATAAATAAATCAGAAGTTCTTACTACTTGGCTGCTTAAAGTACCATGTATACATTTCGTCAGGTGATTAGTACTAAAGTGTTAAATTTCAGCAATAAATTGGTTTTGGTCACATCCATATTTCTGATGTGTTAGTGATTTAACTGGATTTTCAACATAGTGAATGCCAGTAGCCAACGTAATTCTTCTGATAATTGTTTTTCTTTTCCCTTGTTTTATATCGTTTCTTAGCTCCCTTCAGTGCCTCGTTCGAATGCGTGTGACGTTGATGCTAACAAAAGCCAGACCACTTCAGGCGGCTGTACAATTAGTTCCAATGTTCGCCCCGTTCCATCCTTGGTTAGTGGGTTAACCAAGTCTGTAGATAGTTTATTGGGTCCTGCAAATGCAGTGGCCCGTGCTACTAGTTCAAAAGGCGGGGCTCTTCTACCTACTCCTTATCCTAATCCTTCTCAGGCTAGTGGTAAATCTGTTACCCATAATCGTGGTATTCTACCGTCAGGAATTCATTCACAATCCACCAAGGCTTCTGTAGACAATGGACCATATATTAAAGATGTTCCAAATTATGCAGATGTATTAATTGATTCTTCTGTTAACTTGATACTATCTCGTTTACGCCGGACACAGTGTAATTTTGACAAACTTGTTGCATCTAATCAATCGGAACTGCAGTCATTTACTTTTACTCAAAACAGGTAGGTTTAAGCGGTGAAAAGCATGTTATTAGTTTAGGCTGATACATAAGACTTAAAACCCCTTGTCCAAAGTCTTACGAAAGTTACGGTAGCGTACTTGGTTACTTACTTAGTAGTATTAGAGTGTGTAAAGCTACACAACTGCTGATATTTTGACATTCGTGCTTCACTCAATGTATCAGCATAATGACTTGGTTAGGTTTTTCATTCAACTTACCTCTATTCATTTTGTTCCCCTTTGATCAACGGGATTTACATAGACTGTTCATCTATGTTGCTTCCAAATTTTGTTACGCGAGTGTTATTGAAATGCTTCTGTATATTAGTAATCTATTTTCGTGCGTAATCGGATGCTACTTTGCTGATATAGAAACTTTTGTTGTATCTGAATATTATGAACTTCTTAGAATTTATGGATACTTAGTAGTTAGTTCGTAGTTTTTTTTTCTAGAAATTAGTTATTAGTTTGTGGTTTGCAACATCCTAACAATTCTTTAACATCAAAATTTCCGTTGCCTTGATATCATTTGTATTGCACTTGCATTCCTTATTTATTTGAACACGTAAATATTGGTAAGAAGAGGCACTGAACACATATGCGCCACACAAGTCACTTGATTTGTGTATGGGCTGTGATACTGCCCGGGTGCCCAGACTAAAGGAGGTGGTTTTCTTAGAAGGCCACAGGCGGAGCTTTCGACCTGAATATCTGATCCACAAGGCAGTGGAGCAACATCAGGAGATCCAGTCCCATGGTAGCTGGTGACCAACAAGAGGTTAACACTGTTTCTTCCCTCACGATACTGGAACCCATGTACACCGTTGTTTTGGAATCAGGGTTTTCCATCTCCTCTAGGTGAAGCTCCCGTGTTCACCAACCCGGTTAGACCGCCGGACATTCGTTTTTCGTCCTCTCAATTTCGTAAACAATACCCTGGCCGCGAGAAGGCAGTTTGTAGGACTTCTCTTACAGTGGCTGTATACGCGTGGCCATGTGAGACCATTTCGAGGAGAACTGACTCTCCCAAACTTCGGTCGCATTTGGGGGCATGCACCGCAAATAATAGAATATGATCACTTCGCTTGACATTCAGTCCTTATCTTCCTCTCGATCTTGAGCTCCAGTATTACTACGTACAAACACTACTCTGTCTTTTCGAACCACATACTCACTACTTAGTCTTTCATTTTATCTATGGTGCCACACTATTTCCACCTTTTTTGTTATTTTTATCTCATGCTAGTCATGCATGAAAACTTGGCCTAACTAATTCACATTTGTGCCATGCTCTTTGTCGATGATGTCTATCAAAAACCGTTTGTTTCATCTATAGCGGTAACAAATCATTAAAAACCTTTGTTCATAAGTAGACTGTTAGCAAGTACCTATAATTATTCAGTGCATCTTTTTTAATTCTAATAATGAATAGTAATCCTATATGTATTAACTTTGCAAAAATACATTTCGTCGTCTTATTCTCGCTTATTCAACTTATAGTCAAAATGGAAAAAGAATGATGATGCGTATTCGTGTTCTTGAACATGAAAATGAAGAACTAGCAAATGTCAATCGTACTGGTCGAACTGCTCGGTTAGAATCGGAAATTTCTTTACGACGTGCATTCGTAAATGACTTGAAAAATGCTCATTCAGGTAAGTGTGTATGTATATATGTGTGGGAGGGGGGAACTTAAGTTTTAGTTACGGTGTGTGGCCAATAATAAAGATATGTAGACAAATTGTTCCATTTACTTACTTGTCCCAATCACGATAAATGCATTGAGTATGTAAAAAGCGCTTCATGGGACAGTACTTATGTATATTCATCACAATAACCATTCTCGTTTTCTTGATATCATCAATAATAAGATTAACTCTCACATTGTCGCTCTTCAGTTTCAATGAAGAATCGTCCAGTTCAAAAGTATTTCATTTCACTATCACAAACTAGTGAAAAATAAGTAAATGTTACTTCGTTCTCATAACTCATTAGTTCATACTCACGTACTCAATTTACACCTCGTTTCATTGTCTACTATAGTAACCTAATTCAGTGTTGCTTTTGCTGTAAGTAAATTGTTAAATGTCGCGGAACTTTGAAAACTGCTTACAAATTGCTCAGTATCAAAATCATGTGTTTTTATATTCCTATTAGTATTATCCATTTGTGAACTAACTGGTTTATCGTGATTCACCGAATAATTGCTAGTTTGACAGTGACTATGTAATTAACACACACCATATCAAAACATCTAATCTGAAAAATTGCATAATATATGTTTTCGCATTTGAAAAATGCAAGCTTTGGTTTAGCAATTTACCTGATGTTTTATTTTATGTATGAATTCAGTGTAAAATTAAAGTAATTTGGCCACCAATTTAATGTAGATTAGTAAGCTGTCAGTTCAGTTAACAATTGGCTGTCACATACATATTCATATAATCGGCTTCATTCCAGATTATTTGTGTGAACACCAATGGGACTATCTACTATTCAGCTTCCCAAACGAAATTAAGCGTAGCTCGGTTAAAACTCCCAACTTACGAAGTTCTAATGGTTTTATCACTAAGCTACAACTCCATAATATTCAATGTATAGGTCAAAGTTAGTGTTTTATATCGACCTAGTAAAATAAAGCGGCCTGCTTAAATATCTGGGCTACCTGTTTCTGCCATCTGATTATTTCAACAAGTTATCTGGGTTTTTTTCATTTGTTTTAACTTATAATTATGTCCATTAATCGCATAACCTATTCAGGCGCTTTTATGGAAAGCCTACGACCTTTCGCTGCACAAGTTACAAAAAAGTACTATAAAAGACGTCGTGGTGGTTGGCAATATGCGTTAAAGAGAATAAACATTAATCGTATGTCGATTCCCGAGCTGCTAAATTCTAACTGCCGATCACTAATCAACAAAGTGGACTATCTGCAATTCCTACTTAGTCAAAATACGTATCGTAATTGTGGTGTCATCACAATTCAAGAATCTTGGTTGAATGATGTACAGGATGACTGCCTTGTATCACTACGTGATTTTAAAATTTATCGTCAGGATCGATCGAACAATAAAAAGAGGTGTGGTGGCGGTGTAGCTACGTTTGTAAACATAAACTGGTGTCGATCTTCGTTTGTGTGTTTTAAGTTTTCAAATGACTATCGACTGTCTAACTCTAAGATGTCGTCCAAAACATCTGAATAAATATAAATATGTTTATGTTACCAATATCTACGTTACTCCAGATTGCACATCATCTGCACTGTCTGTTTTCGCTGATGAATTCACTGAGTTCGCTGTTACTGCCTTCAGTGATTCACTTTCAGTTATATGTGGTGATTTCAATTCATGTGACTGTAGCTTCCTTAAGTCACTAGGTCACCAAAATGTAGTAGATTTTCCTACCCGTTTGGATGCTCATTTAGACTTCGTCTTCATTAATGGTGTGGGTATATATGCGACTCGAAAACGTGCTCCATTGTGTAGCTCGGATCACCGTATAATTCGTGTTCTACCTAAAGTATATGGAAAGCATGGGAAGAGTACACTCTCACATCAAACCAAGAAAGTCAAATATAGAAATTACTCAGAAGAAAATATCCGAAATCTGAAAAACATATTTCATACGACTAACTGAATTATTTACAGATGACTCGCTGGAAAACACTACTGATGTTATCACTTGTTACCTTAAATTCTGTTTTGATATTTGTTGTCCCACTGAAACCATTTTTGTAAGTTTTGATCAACTTACATCTTCACAACTAAAACGATTACGGAAGATGAAAGAAAGAATGTACAAGGAGAAGAACTCTGATGAGGTTCGTAAGCTAAATGGTCTGATAAACCTAGAGATTAGACGTCTCAATTCTATGTTTACTCAAAAACTCTAGTCTTGCAAAAACTCCAAGTATGTGGAAACTCTTTAAGGAACTTACAGGTGACAGACAGTTTAGAAGCGATAACCAGCTGAATGTTTGACTTAAATAAGTCTTTTGTACGTCAGTCATCTGATGTGATGCTCCCGTTATCCACGGGTTTAAATAATAGCTGTGTTCCTACTTTCACTGAAATTGATGTACGAAGATGTCTCCAGTCGCTTAATTCATCTCGATGTTTGGGACCTGATGGTATCCCAAACATCCTTTTTAAAAAGTGTGGTGACGTCCTATGTTATCCGTTCACAGCTATCTTTAACAGATCCTTCTCATCTAATCTCATACCGGAAATGTGGAGAAAGTTGAAGATAATTCCTGTACCCAAGAAAGCATCTGGTGATAAGAATGTAAAATTTAGACCTATTGCAATAACTTCACCCTTCCTCAAAACAATGGAAAAATTATAAATACTTCCACTTCAGCCTGTGATAAAAGAGCATATTGATCCATATCAGTTTGCTTACAGACGCAAAAAAAGCACTTTAGATGCTGTTGCTGTTCTGTATCACAACATAGTGTTCAACTTAGAAAAGAGTAAAAAGTATGTTCGATGTGCTTTTCTGGACTATACTTCAGCTTTTGATTATATACCAAGACAACGTTTACTTAACAAGTTAATCAGCGTCAACACTGACAGCTGGATAACCAACTGGCTGTGTTCCTACCTCCGGAAGGGAACAGTACACTATGTTTGGAGGAAAGTGTTCAGAGTCTCTGCTGTCTCATGAAGGTGTACCACAAGGAACTGTTCTTTCACCTCTTCTATTCTCTTTTTTCTGCATGATCTGCCATCTTGCACAGAAAACACTTTTGTGAAATATGCGGATGATCTCACTGTATGTATGCCTAACTCTTCCTCCTTACATTCCATAGAAATGAATGAGTTTTTGTCTCGTATCGATTGTTGGTCTGTTGGTAATGGTCTCATACTTAATCCGTCTAAACGTCAAGCTGTTAACTTTAGCATGAGACATGAACGGCATCTAAACACCATTTTGAGATCCCATAATGCTTGTGCTATTGGAGATTCTTTGATAAACACAGTGTCGAAGGTCATTTATCTTGGTGTCATCTTTTCCTCTGATCTGTCTTGGTCTTCCCACGTTTTATCGTTATCGACGAAGGTTTTCCGTTTGACCTACTACATAGAGATTGCATGCTCCCGGGATTACTCGTCATTTACTCTTACAATTTGTCAATTCTTGCATATTACCTATTATTCTTTACTCTTCTCAGAATATGCTGATGACATAGTTTTATTTGGTGAAGACGCTGACAAAATGCAGAGTCTTCTGACTACTCTAAGCAGCAATGCAAACATGTTCGGGATGCGATTCTCTCCCTCGAAATGCAAAATGTTGCTTCAGGATTGGGTTACATCGACACCCGAACTAGTGATGGGGAGTAAAGTAGTTGAGTGTGTCGACCGCTTCACTTATCTTGGAAGTCTCATCAGCCCTTGTGGTCTGGTGTGTGACGAAATCTCAGCACGGATACAGAAGGCTCGACTAGCTTTTGCCAACTTGCGTCATTTATGGCGTAGGCGAGATATCCGTCTATCAATCAAAGGACGTGTTTACTGCGCAGCAGTTCGTCCCGTCCTACTTTATGGTAGTGAAACATGGCCGGTAAGAGTAGAGGATATTCGTAGGTTACTAGTATTCGATCATAGGTGTCTTCGAAACATTGCTCGTATATCATGGGACCATCGAGTAAGTAACACAGTTGTTAGGAAACGGGTACTAGGTAAGGATGGCAAATCAATTGATGAAGTAGTGAAACTTCATCAGTTGAGATGGCTGGGACACGTGTTACGTATGTCCAACGACCGACTGCCTCGACGAGCGATGTTCAATGGTATAGGAGTAAGTTGGAAGAAAGCTAATGGTGGCCAGACCAAAACATGGCACAAATCCATGAAGTCACTGGCAAGTGGAATGAGTCATGTTGGTAGGTGTAGACTACCTGGTTGGGGACCACGAGATGATAGCAACCGATGGTTAGAGACCCTGAATGACATGGCTCAAAATCGTTTGCAATGGCGCAGGTGCATCTACTCTTTGTGTTCTCCCAAATTCTAATCTTCGGAATTCTTCATGTCCCTTTTTTCCTCTTTCCAAATTTATTTCACTGAATTATACTCTTTAAATAACATCTCCAAACCCTAATCTTCCCGGTTACTGCTTATACTCTTGCTACCTCTACCACTACGGGATTTGAATCGACAACTGCATCTCTGTGTTAAGGTGGTGTGGCAACTCGAAATGATGTATGTACGTACGAAGTTCTACGTTGTTACTGACTGACTTTACTGTTCTCCATTATTCTTTCCCGGGATTTTGAGAAAACACTGTTGTATTGCGGAGAGTGCTGAAGGCAGTTAGCAAGATGTTTGGTGAATCTTTCGAGGTCATAATTTATATGGTTGTCGACAGACATCTAATGTCATGCAAACTCCTGGCAGGTGTTATTTTATCAGATACTAGCCATCCCCCTCACTCTTATCTTTCTCCTTGTTTATCTTCTGGTAGAACGAGACGCAATAACATTAAAATCCATGCACGCAAGCAAAAGTATAAAAGTTCTATAATACCTTACTTAGTGAATATACTCTGTGACGAACAAGTTGTTAGAGTTAACCTAGTCAATAACCTGCATTCTTATCATTTCTTTAATTTGAAAAGTTGTTCAATTTTTCGGGTTTCTTTGTATTTGTTACTGTATTTTTGCGTAAGTAACTTGTTGAAATACCCTGTGCTGAGAATTCTATATTGTACCAAAATATAATGTTGAATAAATCCATTAATAATAAAAAATAATTATTATTGAATAAACCATGTTTAACAGTTTCTTATCGCTTTTTATTCTTTTAATAATTGTTCTTAATTCGTTTGCATCTGCTGATTGAGTACTCAATAAATGCTTTATTTTTTGTTGTTGAAGATATGGAGTATTTAGTGGAGGAGGCTGAGACTGAAACTGAATTGCTTGGTAGTTCTTTAATGATGCTGCAACAAAGACTACAACTAACTCAAAGCACTGCAGAACTCTTGGCTTCCGAACTACAAAAACTGGAACCAGTGATTTGTGCTGGAATGATGAATTCCGATGGCGATACTGATGCTAAGAACGTGTTGTTACATGAGGAAACAAAATTAGAAGACGTTACTTGTGTGTCTCCTAGACGACTGCAGAATTCTCTGAACGATAGTCTATACGATGACGAGCTTATTTTGGATCCAGGTATTGAAATTAGCCGACAGTCTTCGGAATCTCCCAAATCCTATACTGATATACCAATCGATAGCGACGTCAATTCTCGGGTGACAGAAACTAAATATGATAAAAAGTCATGTATTTATGCCCGAGTTCTCCCCAAACCTGAAAATAATATTTCTGATGACGAAAATTTCGGTAAATCGAAACGTAGACGTGTCTCAGGTAGTTGTGGAGATTCATCAAATGAAAAATGCACAAGTCATTTAGACTCTTTATCATTTTTACCTGCTCCATTGTCTAGGAATACAGTATCTACTTCCGCCAGTGATCGGACTAAATCGCGTCCTGTAATCCCTGTACGCGGTCCACAACGGACGTTTCATTCAAACCGTGAGCATACTGCTCAAATTACTCAAATAAAATCCATTTCATCAACAACAGCATCACCATTAGATGAATCTATTTCTAGTAAACTTTTAAAACTTTCTAAATTTAATAGTCAGTTAACTGTTGATTCCTCCATGAAATCCCCATGTATAAAGTCTTTCACATCTAATCATCCTAATGTTATTGATGGCTCGTCTTCATGAAATCCCTTTCCTATCCATTTTTCAAAATCTCTTACCTGTCTCTTTCTTTTGTGTGTTGGATGTTATTTTTATCGTGTTTGTTTCTTCCTATATGGAGTGGTTTGTGTGTGTGTGTATTCAAATAAAAATTATTCATGATTGTTTGATTTGCTGATGATGTTTGTCTTGATTTCCGATAGGTGGCTCGCTTGTGTTTGTTCCTAATTTGTTGGGCTTATGTTTCTTTCTTCACGCTCATAGATAAATGTATTCTCGTTCAATCTTTTTTTTTATAAACGAACTACTGTTTCTTAAATGATATATCGAATAACACTGATAATCAATTAAACCCCACTTGTGTTTCCCTTCTGCGTTTGCACTCTATATATACATATATAAAAGAAATTGAATGTACTTAATATATGCTCCTGTCAATTTTTAAGTAGTGCGCGTATTAATAATTAAAAAAATATCTTTACAAAATAAACTAGCTATACATTATTTTGAACAAAAAGAAAGACTAGTTAAGTTTTCTCATTCTTTGCTATGATTAGTCTCAAGGTGTTATCAATCCTTTTGATTTAGATACTCAATACATTGAATATTATGTCGGTTTGATTTCATATAGGTGACATTATTGTTGATATTATTCATTATTATTATTATTGCTATATATAATGATGATGATGATGATGATCGTGATGTGAATGAAGTTAGCGATCAGTTGCATTTATTATCTGTCAAAAGAATCACTTGAACATGTATACATATATCTTTCTATCTGTATTCAGATAGACAAGGTATCTAATCTAATGAGAAAACAGTGAGAATTTTACTATTCACATATTATTAATGTATATTTTTGTCAAAACAATATACATTTTAAAAATGCATAATAATATCACGAATTATTAACACAGATATTGATATGTGCAAATCTAAGTCATCTCATTTATTCATTACCAACAGCAGTGCTTTCACCCTCGTACACATGAATAGTGTGGCGTTTATGTATCGTAGCAAGTTACTGTTCATGTGTATTGCAATTTTATCGTTTCAGGTATTCCTTTTTTTTCTAAACTGCCAATTATATGAGTATCTTTTTTACTCTATTTTTCTAATTTGGGTATTTTTAGATTTAATTTTGAAAAATTATTTTTATACATAAACCTACTTCATTATTTCTGTTAACGTTCTTTATTGTTGGAAAGTTCTCTTTCTCAGATTTCATACTACCTACCGACCTCTGTGTGTGTGTGTGTGTGAACTGACCGGAAGAAACTTTCGGTTTGTGATAAGAAGCAATTAACACTGTATAGAAAATTATATGGTGATAACATTCTCAACGCTAAAACTTAGAATGATAATCAGTTCTGTTATTAGAAAAATTTAAGTTTAAGAGGATCAAAGTTGTCAAATTTTCTAAGTAACAGTCACAATTATTCAGAAAAGCACCGAATTTCATGCCAAAAGGCCCTTAGTGCATTACATTCGTAATTAATGCTCAATTCATATAGTGTATACACAACCGATTGATTGACATTAAGTTCACATACCGTAATAAGATTGAATCCGTTTGTTTTTCTGCTGTTTGGATTTACTTTTATTCTGGTTGCCACGGCTTCCAATATACCGTTTACTTCTGAACCTGTCATGCTTTTATTTCAGCTGTGCATTATGTTATTCATCATTAGGATATGATTAGATCGTAGAGATCATTCTACTTGCTTTTTAAGAAGTTATGGTAATGCTTCTTATAAGCCGTTTTTGTATAAAGCTTTTGTTTACTTCAAAATTGGAAGTCACCTAAGGAATGACTATCTTGAAAAATATATTAAAAAGAAATAATCTTTAGTCACATCAGGATCGCCCACATTTCAATAATATAATTGTGAAACACAATCGACTGTGAGCAAATTACTTTTATTAGTGCCGATTTCGTTTGATATCCACGTAATTATCCTTATCACTTTGTGTTATACATTTGAGTGGTGTTTCTTGGAGAAAGGATCATTCCTCTTAAACCTGGCCTCTCCGAGTTGAGGACGTTAGACGACTCTCTGTGTTCGATCATCGCTGTCTTCGAAGGATTGCTGACATTCAGTGGCAACACCATGTCAGTAATGCAGAGGTTGGGCATCGTGTGTTCGGTCACAGAGATGATAACTCAATTGGTGTCACCATTTTGAAACACCGACTTCGGTGGCTTGGACATGTTCTCCGAATGTCGTCCCAGAGAATTCCACGTCGTGCATTATTTGCCGACTCTGGGACTGGTTGAAAGAAGCGGAGAGGTGGTCAGTGCATGACATGGTGTCGTGGCATGAAAGAAAGCTGCAAAGGACTGGCTTCTGTTGGTCCTTCACGACTCCCTGGTTGGGGTCCGAGAGATGGTGCTACACAGTGGCTAGAGACGTTATCAGATATGGCTCAGAATAGAAGCCAGTGGCGATCCTGCTGTAACCTTCTTTTACTTTCTTCATAAAAAGTGGTTGTGTCTCCTTTACCTGAAAGATTTCTTCTGATTGTACCTCTTCGTCATTACTCTCTTTTTCTTTTGCGTTCCTTAGTTTTTTTTCTCTCTTTCTACTTCTCTTCGAATTCCCATTGTTTTGTGTGGCGCATATATATTGGCGCTCTCTTGTACCAATATTTATGTGTTCAAATAAATAAATAAAATTCGTATTTCACACGATTAGAGAATCTTTTCAAAAAAGAAAATGTATGGAAATTACCAATGCTTGCGTCGAAATTGTTTTAAGACTGGAAAGTTTCATTTAATGAAAAAACAAAACAATGAGAGTCATTATGTTCAGATGAAATTATTTAAGTATAAGTGTGAATTTCTTGGCCTCTATCAAAAAATCAAGATTGTTACAATGTAGTGAATTCAAAGCTTCGTTTCTAGATGAAATGAAGCTACATACTGCATTCTTTTACTTTAGATAATATTAAAGTTTTAATTCATATTTACAAAATATCGCGTATTCTTTATACGTGGGAGATAAACGTTTCGGAATATTTTTAGAAAAAAATCTCCACAAACTCTGAAGTGTGTTTGATAACTTGTAGTAATTACTCATATAATAATCTTTAACTGGATGCTAACCAATTACGGAATTATTATATTAGAAAGTCTTTCCTGCAGTCATTTTGTTTCTTTTATCACTCAAATCATTACTTATTTGAGTAGATAGAAGTAATCAACTGCTTTTGTTGTTTGTTATTGGTCACTGTGAGGTATTCGTTCTAATGAGTAGTAATATACAATTAACTGAGAATACATGAATAAAATATATGTTAATAAATTATGATGTGAGTAGAGAAATTAATGAATAGCTTATTTGCAGAAACACCGAATGAACTGTTGTCTTGTTACAGTATGATATTGTAGTCTAAATTGCTTATCTCTGTTTTTACTGCGTAGTCTCATTGTTTATAGTATTTTGATATTTTAAGCTTTTATTTAGTATATCGATAGTCGATGTGTTTTTACTGTTTTGTAACTATCGTTAAATTGTCAACTAAGTTATCGCTCTATTTTGTATCACTCAGGATTTAGTTGTGTATAAATTGTGATTTCTCTCGTGGATTTTTGCCATGTTCTCAAAGCTTTTAATCCTACAAATTTGACTCAGTATTAAAATGTTGGTTTGGTGTGTTCGTCTTCTGACTGGCTATTGAGTATAAACTTTCGCGGTCCTTGCTTATCGTCAGTTGTTTGGTTAGATAGATGTAAGGTAGATTCGTAGCCAATGAACTCTTCGTTTTGTGATTTGATTATGTCAACATGTAGAGGACTGGAAGTCGCAACAGTATTGCTTCATAAGGAAGTTGAAGACTACCATTTACATTGAATGTTCTTTTTAGTCAATACAGAATAACATCAAATTCTCCGTCAGCCTATTCATTTTCGATAGAATTTGGTGCGAGAACAGTTCATTAGTCGTCTGACTGCAGGGATATTATGGGAACCCGAAAAACATATTTGATCGCCTGTACTTTTTATGGAAAATTGTTTGGATTCTAAGTATCCATTGTTTAGATGTTATTTAATTGGTGCGAATATGAAACTGTTTTGGTAAATGCATTTTAAATGATCATAGGACAGCTTTGTATCTTTATCAGTTATAACAAATAATTTGCCAAATTTCAGTATTTTCATCCTTTATCTTAATTAGTGTATGTGCTTCATGGACAAACTACGAAAGTTGCTAGTCTTCTGTAATGTAAACATTTGACTTACTGTATTTTGATTCCTAGCAGCCAGTGAAAAGTTGTGGAAAACATTAGTTCTTGAGTTCATCATTCAATTACTAATGCCATGTCATATTGTTTTGAAATAGATGGATCAGTCTATTGTACATATACGTATTTGAGTTTATTGTTCATACACATCTGTTCAGTAGACTACAACTCTCTTTTATTTGCGATATGCGGCCAGGAATTTTTAAATAATATCCACTTCAGAGACAATGATAGTTTACGCCAATAATTATGCGATCGGAAGTGATGGTATCTTTAAAAATTTATTAGCATGCAAAGCTACGTCACTGCAATCAAATATTTTACAATCCTACATGTAATTACATGGATGAATTTATATTAGGGCAGATTTATCAGTAGCTAAACGAGTGTGATCCGAGGTGCGATATTTATTAACATATAATCGGAACATGTTTTTCTATCGTGTATTCATTACCTACAATTATGTACAAAAAGAAATTTGATGAGTTAAATATCTTTTAGAGCTGAAATTCATTATGTTTTTTGGAATGTGCATAATAACTAGGAATGCCTCGCAGAATTTAGTTTCTTCAGGAACTTTTCCTTAATTGATATGCCACCAATCTTTTATTATCATTCGATTGGTTACTATCATTTTTGTGGTTCAAGAGTCATGGTTGTTGCCAATATAAAATTGTATTACAATATTAACATATCAGATTCCTCTCGAATTCTTACCTTCTCTCAGTCGTTTAAGGAGATTACTCTTGTGAAGATAAGTCGACGAGCTCTCTAGAACACGTCGCTTCCGTTCATATTAAATATCTTTAGATCTTTCATAATTTGAAATAATCGTAAGCTTATGGATTACAAAATAGAACATCTACAAAGCTGTACAATTTAGAAATCAAGTGTGTGTGAAATAACACTCATTGGGCAATATATTTTATTATTATTATTACACGTTATGACATGATTATCAAAGAATATAAAGACAAGAAAATCGCATCTCTTTCTGCAAAACAAAAAAATAGATTCTGTTATAACTGACAAAGTTGAATCATTTCTTTGTATTCAAATAGAAATATTTGAAATTAATAATTTTAATTTTACACCGATACTTCATTTTCGCATAGTTCTGTTACTTAAATAAATTTCTTCCCAATGAAAAATAATCTTGACTTATATGATTTTCTAGGAGTCGATAATAAGAAACAATCAGTGCATGGTGTGTTTGTTTATATCGAATCAACTATAAAATAATGATCATTATGCAACAACATTGTCTTTTTTATTAATAAAGGAGAGAGAGAGAGAGGGGAATAAGTCATAGCAAATACAACTAGCATTAATTTGTAAAATACAAATACGAAAGTTGAATTAAGGGTTTTTTTCTGTTTTTCATTTGCAACTGATGATATTCAAGGTTTTCATCATTTGTCGAACCTGTTCATATACCTGTGAAAAAGAAACATTCTGTAAAGACGTTCTATATTCGTAACAATATTTGTTGAAATACAAAGAAACATTGTATTCTATATTATTGAAAAAAACATGTTCGGCGAAAAACAAAACCGGTCGCTTAGTTTTTCTATCACTTATGGTGTAGTTATGTGTATAAGACCTGCTTGAACATCTGGGCTACCTGTTCTTGACATCTAAATATTTCAAAAAGTTATGTTTTTGTGCGTTTATGAAAAGTTCACAACTTTTCGCTGTGCAGGTTACAAAAAACCCAATCAGAGACATCGTGGTTGCTGGCAATATGCAACGAAAATAATGTACAATATTCAGATGTCGATTCCTGAACTGCTAACATCTAATTGGTGGTCACTCAGTATTTATCGTCAGGGTTGATCAAGAATTACTTTGTGCTGAGAATACTGTTGCACCAATAATATAATAACTATTATTAATAATATCCATCAAACGTTCCGTATATAGAAAGCCGACAAGGACAGGACAGTATCTTAGTTTCCAGTCTAATCCAATATAAAGGTAGTTTAATAAGGGGCTTATTCTAATCCATTATCCAGCGTGCATACAATCACTGCCAGTGAAGTCCTACTCACTACCTTCTCGCGGCGAGGGTGTTTACGAAAATGAAAGGACGAAAAGCGGATGTCCGGCGCTTTACCCGGGTCGGTGGATATGTAGAGTTCATCTAGGGGAGTTGGGAAACCCTGATTCCAAACCAATGGTGCACATGGGCCCCAGTATCCTGAAGGAACAAATGGCGTATGAGCCCACTGTTGGTCACCGGCTACCATGGGACTGCATCTCCTGAAGTTGCTCTACTACCTTGTGGATCAGATCTTTAGGCCGAAGACTCCGGGTGTGGCCTCTTAAGATAACCACCTACTTTAGTTTGGGCACCCGGGCAGTATCACAGCTCACACACAATTCGAATGATTTATGTGGCGCATATGTGTTCGGTGCCTTCTTGTACCGATGTTTATGTGTTTAAATAAATAAATTATCCAGCATGTTTTTCACATTGTGTTCTCTATTATTATCTTCGGCCACCCTTACCTTTTAATAGTTCATGTACGAAATAAGTATTACTTGAGGTACAGAATTACCATCCGGGTTCTGATTGATAAATCTTGTCGAATGTTATCAATCTAACCATAATCGTAATACGATTCATTTGATTAAATAACTGAAGCGTACTTCACTCTCAATTTATGAATAAAACATGCTGACGTGTTCATTCCAACTATTTTTTATACCCATAATAATAATTCAGATGATTAGAGTTTCTCAAAGAGATTTAGGCTTTAAGCTTTATTGAAATCATAAAATTATTTAAATAAATTTTAGTAATCGAATGTTTGAAGTACACGATGTTATACGGAAACCTTTCCGCTTCTGCATTATTCGTAAATTTCACCAGTTAATTATGGGTGGACAGGAAATTCCAGTTAATCGTGACCAACACAGATCTTGATATAAATGTATTAGGTCAACTCACTGTACCACATCAGCACAAAAAAAAGTTAACAGGACGAATAATAAACAAGTAGCAGTATCAATAATAGTGAGAATGATTAAACATTATAGAATGCAGTTCGAAAAGAAGGAATGGATTTGAAGAATTAAAAGATTTTAAATAATAAAGAAGCTTAATATTTAGGAGGGGTAAAGTGTGGATAGGTCCGAGGCATTTTAGCCGATTTTGAATCATGTTGCCTAATATCTACAACCATTGAGTGTGCCTAACCAGGTAGTCTGCAACAGCAAACACTACCCAGAATAACAGTTGATGATCATTCTTATGGAATGATACTATATCTCCGTTTGATTATACCTAGTTCTATTCCAGACAATATTGCCCATCGAGGCAGGGATTTTTGGTTACATGTTTCAATCACCTCAACCGATAAAGACACGAACTCGTCGATCGATTTACCTAACATTTGTACACTAAAGCTCAGTTACGTTATCGATTTTCCGTCATAGCAGAGGTCTACAAAGTACACTCACTGAATATTTAGACTTCACAACTAAATACATTACTATAATTCGAGGATTGGTTGGTGTTAGACATTAACAACATTGGATGCCAGCTCAGTGGTCCAGTAGGTTAAGTGTTCGCGCGCGAGACTGAAAGCCCTGAGTTCGAATCCCGCGAGCGGGATCGTGGGTGCGCACAATAGGACGAAACGGCCGTCCAGTGCTTCTAGGTTTTCAAAAGTGGTCTAACATCAATCGATTCATGATCTCAATCAAAAATTTAACAATCTCCACAACCCCTAAACTTATAATTAATATAGTCGAATAATTATTTTTTGTGATATCCCAATGAGTATAAAATTGTATTCCTTATGTTTCGTGACTTGATTAATTGTGACTACATCTCAGTCCTACAGGGGGTTGGTCGCAGCCCGGATAGCTCAGTGGTAACGTCTCTGACTGTGAAGCTGGGTGACACGTGATCGAATCCGTCAGGTGAACCGGTTCCCTCAAGATTACAGGTTCATCTTGCTGACGAGTGCCAAGTAGCATGAAACCCTGGGTCCAGGGTTTCCTGTCGACTACCTCCAACCATCTAGTCTCAACATAGCGCATGAAGTGTCGAGCCAACTAGACTGGTGGCCACATTGCAACTTAGTCGATAGCATTCGATCTGCACTAAGAAGGAATTGGCACACATGACATTGATCACCACCCCGTGATCAATCAATTGTGACCATAATAGGTCTGAACATGTCAATTTCACGTTAGTTGTGGTCAAGGTCATTTTGTATGAGACAACTATGTTTATTTGTATGTGTGATGGTGGGTATGAAAAATATGTAATTTGTTACATGAAGTAGTGTCGTTGGAATTGTATGTGTGTAGTTTGTACGGAAAATAAATAAGGTCGAATGTAGTTTTTTGGATAATCTATCCAGGTTGGATGAATACTCGGGCCATTATGGTAGAGGGATGCACTATTATATGAAACGGTCCGGCCAGTTACCTCTGTTCACTTACCATAAGAAATATTCTGAGAATGGGATCTGTCGATAAATTTGACAATTACAATGAGATTAACAGACTAGAATACTAAACTTCCGAAATTTGTCTCCCATCAAATCATTGCGTGTAGTCGACCATATAATAAACTTGGCGCTACTCTCGGAGAATATGTGATTTGACTCGGTTTAGAATACTCGAAATAACAGAATATTTGGGCTTCAATATGTACAACAAAATAATATGATTGAACGCTTACTATAACTACACATTCACTAATTTGTTAACACAAAATAGTCAGAAAATCGTATGATAAAATATTACCTCAGGTATAGACTTATTTGCATTAATTCTGGTCACCAAATTTTGTGCCTCATAGAATTGAATAATTGGCATACATTGTTCTTTGAATTGTTTTATACTGGAATGTTCATCAATCATTGGAATAAAAAAACATATTAAGTTATAATTTATTAACATCCATGAAACGACTAGTAAGGAATGAAAAAGTCGTTTAGTTGAAAGAAACTATGGTTCAAGGGTAAATCATACTACACTGGATTGAGACGGCCTCAAGATGTTTCCCACAAGCAATCAGCATTTGCAGCAATTTCGTCTTACAACAACGGAAAGAGGTTAGAAAACTAAGCCTTGAAAATGGCGTACATCACTTTGCCCTATGGATTCTCGTCGCCAATGATAAGGGTTAATGAATTATTCAGTTAACACAAATCATGAACAACTCACAAAACGGTTGTATGTAAAGGGACTTAGGCAGTTTTTCCTTGAGTCACTTCCAGTAAGTTTTACAGTCGGCTACCTGAAACCACGTAACATCATAACAGAATATGCCTATCATGAGAGAATTACCGATGCTTTAATGTTTCTTCATTATCGTCCACTCGATTTGACTTTCGTCCAAGGCAACGTTGGATACATACCTGAAGAAACAAATTAGTTAATTAAATATTACATTTTGCATATATATATATATATATATATATATAACTAGTTTCACTCATGTAATAATAGTCAAAATTCTAAAAAATACTAGATTATTGGTGCCTTCTGAATTTCGCAAATCAAGTTAATCATAATTGTATCATTTTGAATTGGGTGATATAGGAATAGGTTGGAAAAGTGTTGTAATTGTTCAAGCAAAGACAATGCAACAGACTAAGAAGTTATTAATAATTTGACTAAACCAAGTAGGTAATTATGAAATATCACTTAGGGATTCCTAGATAATTGTAATCTGTGCTTAGAAACGTTGAGTAACATGATCCGAAATCGATCTATTTGGGTTATTCCTTACCTTTCTTTTGGGCTAAAGAGCTTTGCTTCAATCCATACTTTTCATTTCCCAGTTTCATTGGCCAATTATACTTCTAATATTTAACAATCAACTAAGGTAGATGATTTATATCTACTACTCATCTTGACAGATTCCTTGATCGCTATGATAGACAGTACATTTCTCATCTTTTATCGTCAAATACTTTTTACTCAGGTTCAAAAGGAATGAAATTCCCCATTTTATCTTAACATGTGAATATTCAAAATTCTGATTTGAATCGGAGCAGGTAGTAAGACGAAATTCGTTATTTATTCTCTGAAGAAGTCGCTTACATTGAGTTACGAAACGCCGGAAAATCTAATTTTTTCACTCATTGGGATATTACAATTTTCATTTTTATTTAAAACCACTGGATGTTGACTGAGTCGTCTATAGGTTAGGTGCCACCGAGATAACTAAAGGTCCTGAGCTCGTGAGTACGATCTGTCGAGGGGTTACACAATAGGAGAAAGTAACTGTTGAACGCCTCCTCATTTTTAGTGGTTATCCAACTGAAATCAATCTATGAAATTCAACAATCTCCACAAAACCCTACAGTAACTATAATAGTTAGTTTGATTTATGATAAAGTAATAAATCCAAACTTACATCGTCTGGACAATCTAAAACAATGACATTTTTTAATATTGTATGAGGGCCTAAATCTTTTTCCCAACACAAACGATTTTCATCATTACGTGGAAAACCATCCACAAGAAAATTTGTACAATTAGCATTTTCAGAATTTTTTCGCATTGCCTATAAATGGAAATATTAAATTGTGTATCCAAAAAAATAATAATAAAATAACGAATATCACCTTCAAATTAAACTAACCTCCACTGATTAATGGTTCAGTGATTAAGGCATTCAACAATGAGTTCCTAAGTTGGACGTTTGAACCCCGGTCCAACTCATTCCGTTTTAAAAGCAAGTAAGTAGTATCGTTAGCCTTTACATTTAGAGTGTGGTTCTAGGTCCAGTACACAAGTCTGTACGTGGATGATGAGTCAGTAAATAAATTTTGTACAAATCAACAACTACACTAACCTCACACAACAAAACAAAACTTATGATTAAAAACACAACGTATCAACTCATGATTAAACCAAACAATCTGGTTTTTTACCAATATAGAAACATTTAACGAATGCAACAATCACTCGTACACTACATTATAAGCACAAATGGATGGTGACTAAAAGTAGAATTCAGGATTCATGTTTTAGACATAAACAACATGGTTCAAGAAAAAATAAATTCGCAGACTGAAAACTATAAGATAATTCCAAACTCAAGATCTAAGGAATTAAAAAGAATCGATTTATCTGAACCGCTTCTTGAACTATGTTACTCAACACCTCTAAAAACTGCTTACAATAATTCAGATGATCACAACCAAGTAGTCTGAATCTATCAACAAAGTTCAATTCAACAGTCACACGTTTTGGTTTGGCCGCGATTAACTCTACAAAATATATCAGGCGAAAAATCCACATTCGACAATCTATTTTTTGGAACCGGAGCATTATCAGAAAAGTAAGTGGTACATATAATTAATTTGATCTTACGATGTAAAATATTTACACACACTAATTAAATTGTCAGTCTAAAATAATCGAAATGTACACGAAATAACCACCAAAAATAAAACCCGAACTAACTTGATATAATAAGCCACAGGTAATTTCAGCCGGTACGATTGTCCCATTTTTCATGTGTTCTTGTATTTCACTAGCAAATTCAGAACCTGGTGAATCGCGAGCTTGTCGAAGTAATTCACCAGCAGATAAATGTACAAATCCATATTCCTGATAAAAGGTAGATAGAAAACCGATTTTTAAAAAGTAGTATGGAAGCAAAATATTACAAAATCATACTATTTGTAAATAAAAAATCCAAATAGTAGGTCAACCATCAATACCAAATCTCCGTTTAGATGATAAAAAATTAACTAATGATCTGAGTGACATACATATAGATATGTTGACTTCTTAGTTAGGATCTAAACGATTATCTTAGTCAAAGGTTGGTAATCGTAAATGATATGAATATAATAAATCGATTGATGAGGTATTGGATCTTTAACTACCGAGATGATTAGGATACGTAATACGTATCCCCACCCACCGACTAATTCGACAAGCAGTGTCTGCTAACGCAGTAAGTCGGGAGAAAGTTAGATGTGGTCAAACCAAAACGTGGTATCAATTCATGGAGATATTGGCTAGTGGACTGGGCCATGTAATTATGTAGGTTGTAGTCAGCGCCGTACAAAAAGTAAATTCAAACAAACTAGGTTTACTGACCTTCACAATTTGCTGGCATACTGTACCTTTCCCAGCACCCGGTCCACCCAAAACAAAACAAATATTAAACTTCATATCCCGCCAACTGATGGTATTTGATTTAATGAAAACTGATCTTGCAACACAGAGTGACCAGATGATTCTAAAACAAAATTAAACCAAATTCCAAGAAAATAAACATTGTACTTCCTAAGATTATTGGATCGTTGAGAACATTGATATTTGGACACGACATGTTGCATAAGTTTATACATATTCATACACTTCTTTTTTGCAACTTTCCCAATAAAAAATAGAACCTTTAGGATTTAAATGGGGCGGGATGTACATAAATATGTTCATAACGAGAAATACCACTGAAAATACCTCACAATTGCCTACATAAATATACTCGTGATAACTGATAACTAAAAATGTGGTGCTCGCAATTGTGAAAAGTTTCTTTCACAATTAGATCAGAGCATAACCATAAAGCAGAATCAGAAAAAGCGAAGCTACATGATACTATTTCTTCAAAAGTTGTAGCAGGAAGATGTTTTTCAAGCAATTAAGTTCATGACGGTACTAATGAATATTGGCTGATAAGCATAGATAACCGTTAGATGATTGGAAGACTAATAATTATGCGCGTAAGTGTACTCAATTTGTCCCAGGACTTAATATTTAACCTGTCCACCATGATTTTAAGCTATGATGAAGAAAATGAACATTAGACTTAAGTACAGAGATTTTGTATACAACACTCAAATTAATCGAGAAAACAACACTGAACACTAAAAAAAGATATAAACTTACAGTTACTAATATGACATGAACACAAGTCCATAAGAACCTGAAATCTAAATTGCCCTACTATATGAGATTTAACGTGTTTATTAATGCATGACTTAGGTTTATGAGAGTTGAGTGATCCACACACCCAAAATATCATAGTTCATATATATGATAAAAATTCATCAGAAAACCAATAAAACTGAAAATTTCTAAAAAGGAAATGATAAAAGGATTCTAATCTAAATGGAGTCATATTTCACGAACCAGGTGGTTTAAATGATGAATTTATTGCCTGTTTACATACTATGAACACAAACTTATGAAATCTGAAAGCACAATATTATTATGGCCAACTTGAAGGAGTCGGAAAAACCTAACCTCGAAACTAGTACAACTTAATTTACAAAGATTACTATCCAAAACGTTTTGCGGAGTAATACTTCAAGGGTATATACTAAATAATTAGGATAAGCGCGAGATGATAATACTACTCCTCAATTACATAGACTCCTTAAGATGATTCTATGGTTGAAGGAGCAAATAAAACTACTGTCAGTTAGTGCATGGAAGCAGAATAAAATTGACATTTGTGTGACATCGAATTTGTCATTGGGAGAAAGGATAACTGGATGGCTGTGGCTGGACCAGTAACCTGGGACTGGATGATCGATCTCACGTACTTTGAGTAAAGGGTTGTCTTACAACCAATTCAACACTTCAGACCAAACAATTTAACTGGTTCTGACGGTATAAACTCTTAAACAAAAGGATTTCTAGGTGATATGACCCCACATCGCTGACATTGCTACTCAAAATGTAACTAGGCCAGTTTAGACTAGGACTAATCTTACTAGTTTAGTCATTAAACTGATGGAGATGATTTATCCTGCTGTTTAGCATTGTATGAAGGGGGCGAATTTTCGCCAGAGAAAAACATTTTCATTTTAGTGGATTGTATATTCATAACTAACCTTAGTGGGAAAGAAGATTAGGCCCAACCTAAAGATAAAAATACTGAGGTAAGCGTATAAACTACTGACCTCAATAACGGTTTATCATACGGAACTTAGGTAGAAGAAAGTTAAACAAACAATTATACAGTCGAAGAATGGGTTAGACTTCGTGACAGGAGGTAAGAAATGAGAGCTAGCGACACTTCATCTTTATGTGATATGTAGATGAAAATTCTGGGCCCGCTCCCTTATTTTCATTTATGTAAATGATCTACCTTGAGTGGTATAGCCATGTATCCCGCTGTTTGAAGATGAACTTAAGGTATGGAGAAATACATACAATATAAATTTAGAGGTAAAATTGCGGGAAGATTAAAATTTAATGATTGACTAGAATCGATAGCCGTAGGTAGACTCTAGAAAACGTCATAAAGAAAATAAAGTGTGGCAATTCACATTTCTACGCATAGCATGGAACAGTTATCAACTATAAGTAGTCATAGTAAGTAATGACCTCAGCACTACGATCAGTAGACATATGTTCAACACTCTGTGATGCATTTTAAGACGATTACATTGATCTTCTAAATATTAAATGGTAATAAAAGCAAAAGATAGAAGCAATGAACGACAAGAGTCGGACTTTAAATTCCACACCTCACATACCTAGTTCAGATTACTAGAATCATCGTGTCATTCTTCTGTTCGAATATTCGAGACGCGAGACTAAGAGTTATGGAACGCAATTCATAAACTCTTACTCCTAACTTTTGATCCTAATCCTAATTCCCCATACTAATCTATGGTCCTATTTTGACAACAATAAGTCAGTGAGTTATCAATGTCAATCTGGATTCTCTATAAGGTACACTAATAATATCATAGTGACAACTTGAAGCGAATTTAAGAGTTACTTAGGGATTAATTAACCAGAAATCAGCAACCGGAATGCAACTTTTTAGTAAGCGCTCTAAAATATAGATAAATGAGATTAGAGGTGATTATAATCACCTATAGGACTTAGAAAAACATCAAGAAACTTATAAAAGCTAAATACCAGTTATTTAGGATGGAAATTATCACTCTGCTTTCAGGATAGATCTTACAAATTAGTCCAACATCTTTTAATGACTAGCTACTAACCCTCAAACTCTCAAACGCTGACTCTCGATCGAAACACTCCTAACTCAAGTATACTAAGCCCAGTATTTCAGTACATAAGGAAACCACCATTCAATCTTTTCGACATACGAAATATAAGGAAAACCAGTAGATGGCGACAATTGCCGCTCCAGCTTAAGCTATACAAAACAGCGCTCTAAATCAGTGCATTGACTTGTTTAATTTTGATTAAGCACTAACGTCCGACGTTTTAATGTGAGTAAACCGAGAGTTCTTAAGACGTCTTACGTGAAAAAGCAAGAACAGTAAGCAAACAAGCTAAACCAACACCACCTGGTGACCTTGAGTGATGACCAAGTATCCAAACCCCTTAAATATTGTGCTCAAAATATGTCAAAACCCACAACTGACCAATGACTCAAATATTCATTGTAAGGCAAAATAAAAAGATTGCTTAATTTTAGGTTCATTACAAGTTCAAGCATCATTTCCGGAATTAAAAAGGACAGTGTTATTTTTCCTCGTTGAGTAAACTTTATTGTTTTGATCGTTTATTACGTATCAAGACTGCTGTTTTCACTTTAATCGAATTTATTTCAGTTGAAGCATTTGACTAGAGTATCTTTGCGTTTTCTTAATTAGTTTATCATCGGTACTCCTGAGTACCTTATTTTCTACTGTATCTGTTAGTTTTTTTGGTCATAACAATCTACAATTTTCCACTTTTTTGGTCATAGATCATTTTTTGTCTCTGAGCATTATTGCATCTCGCTCTTTTTTTTTAAAGAACCCCTTTTTAGAGACCGAACAGTGCAAAAAAGGCAGTTGCTAACTTTTAGGTTGACGTTATCCCATTGAAAGCGGCATGCAGTGCGATGAGTGCAAAGGCTGGTACTCTAGTGGCATTGGACCATAACCACACAATCCTCAAAGCTGAATACGAGATTACTCGGAAAATGGATATTCAATATTTAACGTGGAGAAACACCTAACGACGGAGAAGGCGAACAATGAATTGAATGGACTGGAGTTGGTCGAGTGGCATGGCTCGACCATGCAGACGTGGTCCATCTGAATGTTACCTTATATCTTCTATTCATATTAGATATATTGTTCCTTCTCTAGCCTAACCTTGTTCTACATCGTGTATTGGTAATTGATACGATACAGTGAGTTGGTGTAGTCGGTGGTGTGACTTCCACGTAAGATCTTATAGATTAAGCAGTTATATCATGACAAATCTACAATTTTAGGATTAGGTCTATTATTAGAGCAATACTAATATCATAGTAGACCATAATTCTACATTGGTGAGCCCAACTAAAGAAACGCAACCTGTTATTGTTAATCCTTATATCCACCTTAACCTTCTCAATAGATTTTATATTTATGTTAACCCAGTACTCTAATAGTCCTCTGATTAATGCTCACATGCATTATCGTAATGTTATATTGATTAGTTCTCATGACATACTAGCTCGATCGATAATAAAACTGGTCATCAATATTAACTAATTAGCTTTGATGGTTTTTTAGCAAGCTTTAATAGCATTTACATGCTTAGGCGACACAGACTTGTTTAAGCGTCAAGCTCTAGCAAATATGACCTGTAAATAGCGTAAATATACATTGACTAACAATGCAATCAAGGACTAAATAGTTATCTGGATCTAATTCTCAGTATTCCTTCACTTAACACCTCATCCTGTTTCAAACTATGCACTATCCTGTAATATCTTTTCTTCCGACCACTGCCTGCCTAATTTCAAATTTTCGAGTTCCATTGCCAAACAACAAGGATGACACTTCTCTAAAAACATACGGTGAGTTTCAGCTATAAGTTTTCTGCAATCATAAGGTCATTTTAGATGGCTCGTTTAATGGCGACCACACAATTATCTGGATTCATTCGATTGTTCTGATCCTCACTAATGGCGTTATATATGTCGTCCACTGAATAATCTAATTTTCAAAAATAATCAAGGCGAGTTCAACTATTTTACTTAATGATTTTTTTTACTTAACATGTATATGTTTTCCGGTTGCTTTTGCTATATATTTGTAAGTGTCATTAGGCTAAATGCAGTAACTTCTTATGGAATGTTTATAACGCGTCATATTCCTGCCTAAATTTTCACAAGCAGTCTTAACTTTAAAATTATTTTCTGGTCATGTTCACTATTTTTAAGTTGGCATATACGTCAACAACCTGCATGTTAACCTGGCCTAGGTCTATTATTAGAGCAGTACTAATATCATAGTAGACCATAATTCTACAGTAGCACGAAGTTTTCACGAATTTAACGCCTGTGGCTTTCAAAAGGTTCAGTAAAAAGGGCAGTGCATGGCTTTTTCAACGATGCTGTTCGGATGGAAACAGCTTGTTATCCGAGACCATCTCACTGCTAGATGCTGCGTAAAAGTGTTTTAGTAAGCGTAGTCAGGACACATCCAACAACACTCGCTTTGTCGACACTCAAATTTATATGAAGCATACTCAGGTGAGTTGGAAAATAGGTGACTCACACCGATCAAAGAAGGAAAAACATAGTCTCCAAAAAGATCCGTCCTAAACAAAAACTCAAAAAAGAATGTTCTTCTGTCCCCCGTCTTCCAAACGGCATTTAGCAGGAAACGCCTAGAAGCCGCAATCGCAAGGCTCGTTCGGTTCCTAGCGAGAAACATAACCTAACCTCCCGGGTCATCGACAACCCTCCAGAATTCAACAGTAAGCTTGACTCAACTGTCGTTGCTTCTCCTGGCGCCCTTGACGAGTGGGTACAGGTTGTAAAGAGGAACCATCGTAGTGATATAAAAGGGAATCCTGCCACCGTAAAATTAGTCGAAATATTGAAGGCTGACAGATCTGTTATTTTTCATAGAATCAAGGAGAGCGGGAGCTCTGAATCAAAAGCTCGTTTTGAGCATGACATTGTACTAAATAAACAGATGCTTGATGTAATCATGCCACAAAATATCACCGGGGTCACCTTGCTAAAGGTGTACAGACTAGGGAGTCTAGAGAACTTGAAAGTAAATCAGTTAAGACTGCTCAAAGTAGTATTCAAATCTTCCAACGAACGCTACCTAATTTTACAGAATGGACATAAATTAAAGGGTTCAGAAGTTTTTATCCATTAGGACTTACCATTGTCAGACCGTATAAAAAGACAGGAAGCTGACAAAGAACTACAACTTAGATTAGACGCTGGCGAAAAGGACCTGAAAAGTGTAAATTTTCGGGTTGTAAGGCTTCGACAGAGAATGATGCCGAAGCCACTCTGGGTGAAGCACGAAGCCAATTAAATAGGCTTCGGATCGGCTACACTAATGCCCGAAGCTTACTTAATAAGCGATCGGAACTAGGTGTACAGATTGACTCTACAAAGCCAGACATAATCGCAGTTACAGAAACCTGGCTGACACAGGCTATAGATAGTATGGAACTTGATTTCGAGGGTTTTACGTTAGTAAGGACCGACAGAACACAAAGGAGTAAAGGAGGGGGTAGCTCTATTCATTAGGAATGATATCCCATTTGCCATTCTCGACAGTATATTCCATGAGAGTGGGACGTGTGAATTAGTTAGTCTCCGCTTGAAATGCAAGGGACAAGAGCTGCTGATTGGTTTGGTCTATCGCAGTCCAAGCTGTGAGGTAAATGAAGTCCTGCTAAGCCGTCTCAATACTTGGTCACAAAGTGGTCGATGTCTAATCCTAGGGGATTTTAATGCACCTATGGTAGACTGGGAAAATCTACGAGCTGGATCGTCAGAAAATTCCTTCGAGCAGGAACTAGTTGATGGGGTTATCACATATGCCCTAGTGCAACATGTGAAAGAAGCGACTAGGTACGACCCGGACACTGAATCATCCCTACTAGATCTCATACTCACTCACTATGTGGATGACGTTGCGAACCTCCATTATATGCCACCTCTAGGCAAAAGTGATCATGCAGTTTTGATTTTTCGACTTCCATATAACTGTCAGTCACCACCACGCGTCAGCCCAATCCAGACCTAACGTCTGGAAAGCAAATATACCAGATATTATGCACTCGGCATCGTTAGTAGTATGGACAATAGACCCAAAGTCCTCAGTTGAAACGGCCTGGAACGCATTTCGAAATTCATACTTAAAAGTTATCATACCCCACATCCTTTGGACTATACCAAGGGGGCCGAGAAACTCCCCACCATGGTTCAGTAGGGAGATCCGCATCCTTCTCCGTAAGAGAAGAAAAATGTGGGATATATTTAGGTTACTGGGGATCGATGAGACAAAATCTCAGTATCGAAAAGCTCGGAATACCTGTGCCTCGACCACCCGTAAGTCTAGAAAGTTCTACGAAGGAAAACTTGTTGAGGAATCCATAGAATGTCCTAAACGCTTGTATTCCTACATAAGCCAAAGGACAGAGAGAAGAGGAAATATTCCTGCTCTATGGGGACACATTACTGCCGTATCATTATTGGAGGACGACTTTGGTAAGGCTCAAGTGTTCTCGAACTACTTTAGCAATGTATATATTACAGAAGCACCCTTCCCGTCAGCGCATACAGATCCCCCCACACATACACTGGATAGCGTGACCATCAGAGAACTTGATGTCTTTGGTCTACAAAATAAGCTTGACACAGGTAAATCCACGGGGCCCGATGAATTACATCCTAGGCTACTGAAGGAATTATCTAACTTTGTTGAGAACCCTTTAAGTATATGCTTTAACCTATCCGTAACTCAAAGTCGTTTACCCAAAGACTGGAAAAACGCCAAAGTAAGTCCTGTCTTCAAAACAGGTACGAAACACAAACCTGAGAATTGCCGCCTCGTTAGCCTAACAGTGTGGTTGTTAAAATCTTAGAAAAGATTATTCGGAAGGAGCTGTTTAAGTATCTTGATAAAAACCGGATCCTCTCGGAGAAGCAGCACGGTTTCAGAATAGGTTATTCTTGTCTCACTAACTTATTAGTGGCTCGTGAAAGCTGGTGCTCTATTAAGGACCAAAAGTTACCTGTAGACGTTGCCTTCATTGATTTCAGCAAAGCTTTTGACAAAGTTCCGCACAACCGGGTGTTATATAAGTTAAGAAATGTCGGGGTCGGAGGCAATCTATTGATGTGGTTAAAAGACTTTCTAGTTGGGCACCAATAAAAGTACGGCTGAACTCAAAGTTATCTAGCTGGGAAACTGCGCTTAATGGAGTGCCCCAGGGTACAGTTTTGGGGCCATTGCTATTCATCTTGTATGCAAATGACCTTCCTCGTCTCCTATCATCATCGGTCTTGCTATATGCTGACGATGTCAATATATGGAGAACGATACGATGTAAGGGTGATAGCTTGGAACTCCAAAATGACCTGAAGAAATTATCTGAATGGTCTCATACC